GTGGTCCTCATTTTTGTTTATAATTTTTGTTGTTTACATTTATTTATGCATATATAATTAGTATTTTGTTGTTTTTAAATGATTTCAATAGTTTTTATGGCATATATCTTACATGTTTAATTAATCTATATATTTTTTATATACATAAAGCTGGCAGACTTGTTACTTTTGTCTCTGAGCAAACGTTCGTCTTCATGTGACCGGGTCCCCACCGTTCACATCGCTCCAAACAGAAAAGAAAAAAACAAATCCTCATTCTCACAACGGAAAAATCAGTCGGCGATGACATTTTATCAATCAGATTAAATCCAGTGGGTTATAATCCCTGTGGCTCTAATATCCGCTCTAAAAGCCGCTGGGTCGCTACAAGGATTTCTTTATTTTTTCACATAAAAGTTGCACAAAGTTCTTTAAACACAGGTCATTACCGTGATCTGAACATGGCTGGAGCTGATTGGAGATTCATCTGAGTAGGTTTTGCTGCGACGTTAATGAGCCCATTCTTATTTCAGCACATATTTACACCATGAGAAACATGTATTAAACTACAGAATACAAAAATTAAAAAAACAACGTTCACACAAAAATAGCTTCTGCAATATTAATTAATAGCACCAGTGTATCAGATATAATTTCCGAGGAAAATGTACAAAGTTGCATAGTGTTTGGTGGTAGAGAAAGTCATGGTTGGCTCCGGTTTGGAATCAGCGACCCTCCACAACGAGGGCTGCACGATTTATGGCAACAAAATCCAATTGCGACGTTTCCGATTCATGCGATTCACAATACACGAGTTTTAAAAGTGAGAGTGCATAAATCAAACTACTTGTGTGTGTGACATTTGAAAAACACAAAAGGATTAACATTTTTGCAAACGTTGAAACAAAAGATATAAGAATAAAACAGTAGAAGAAGAAATGCATGAAAGTTTTTTGTTATTAAGAATGGTAGTGTATGTTGTTTTCCCCAAATTATACAAGATATTTTTTCCTTATTTTAAGTAATGTATTGCGCTTATTGTGTCCACTAATATTTCTAGATTTGATACGAGAAATCGTGCAGCCCTCCACCGAATACAGAGAGAGAATCTGCTGAAGGCCGCTCAACATCGCGATTAGAGAGAGTTCAACATTTTTTGCCGTCATTGGTTAAATCTACTATATTCAGGGTAACGCCAGGTTTAAAGGAGAAATATGATGCATTATTTTTGGCCATTAAACATTATGATGTGACTGCACTTTGTCATTTCCTATTGAAGGAGTATGAAGGGTAAAAAAAAAAATGCCTGTAATTCCCCATGCTGCCACCAGAGGGAGGAGTGCAATTTGTTTGAGTTTTTTCCAAGCGTGAAAACACAGACATGCAATTGCTAAGAGTGTAATTTCACTTTAAAACTCACCAAGACAAATTTATGGGCAATAATTTTGTTTAAAAAAAAGGCAGAATATGTTAGACAAAAGGGGCATATCTAATAAAAACAACCAACTCCGGGTCGCACATTGTAATTCTGTTGTTTTGTTGACAGTTAACTAACTTCGCTTTTCTATGCTTGACCAGATAAACTACTACTACTACTACTACATGGAAAAAAGAGAATAAAAAAAAGTTGATTTTGCAGAATATGTCTCCTTTAAAACAGCGAGATTTTAGACATTTTTAAGACAGCAGTGACTTGATATGGTTATTTAAATTATTAGATTATTATTATTATTATTATTATTTGATTAAACGGCAGAATGATTGGATCTTGAATTGAACGCCACTTCGTCTCAAATGCCAATTGTCAAAGGGATTTAAAGATTTTAGGATTGAAAGACCCACCCAGAACACCATAAAGTACATCACATTTCACTGCATCAAAATATATACTTAGTAAATTTACTGAATTACAAACACTCAAAATGTAGGTGAATAAAAACGTACGAACCGCAAACTCACAGTCGAGTTGTTTCAGGAGTTAAAGCTGGGGACTTAAAACTAACTCTCAATACAGGTCGGTCCTAACACTAGTTTACTTTTGCCGTCTGTCATGTCTTTAGATCAGCATTTTCAGACAGAAAAGTGGGAAAGAGAGGACCCCCCTCACTCAGCCAATCAGCTCTCAGCCCAAAGAGTCAAATAGTGACTCAAAGGGCTTGTACGCAAACGATTAAAGGCTTTCTAAAGAAGACAGAATGTTGTTGTCTGTTTCGTTCACAAAAGTTACAAGAGTCTTTCTGTTGGAACAACGTGGGGAAGACATGGGTGAAGCGGTGGGACCAGACAGGGATTTGAACACTGCTTTGCACTGCGAGGTTTTTGGGTTGAAATGAAATGACCGATGTAACGTGTTGAATGCAGTCACTGTGGGTTTGTGCTTTGAATACAATCAAGTCACATCCTTTAAAAGAAAGAAAAGTTCAAATCCATATTCAGCTAACAATGTAACATGTGAAATCAAAAACATGTATTCTGACAATTCATACGTGATTTAAATGTACAAAGTTTTGCAAGTATTAAGAAGAAGTAAATGTTGCAAAAATATTTCTACAGCGCTAACGTTTTCACCGTCCAATCAAACGCCGTTACATCATTATATTTGTCCATGGTATTTAATGTGCACACTTCATTTGGAAATGTGCAACAGAAAAAACTGCATGTTTTGGGTTAAATTGAGGTTAAATCATTGTCTTGACCGAGAAACTTCTAAAGACGCGTGTAAGCGGTGTTCAATATTAGGATGATAAAAAGTATGAATTATTTATAGTTTGCCATGCTCCATTTAGCCTGACACCACAGACTGTCTACAGTTGGACAGTGCTAACCCACTAACTCAACGACGCTCTGACTTGTATTGAAAAGTAAAATCCTCTGGCTCAGTCATTTGGGCTTAAGTTTAGCACGCTCGAAGTTAGCAGCACGTCTGCCCTTGTTACAGAGCAAAGCTCAAAGCTTGGTTCTAGCTAGTTTATGTCCAAATGGGCTTCCTCTGCATTTGGAAAACATTATGGTGACGTCACGCTCGGTCAGTCCACTCCTAATATATGGTCTGGTATGGTATGGTATACCTGACACTCAAAATAAATAAATAAATAAATATTGCGCAACACTAGTTTGTAGTGGTCGAGGAGTGTAATTGTGTCTTTTTACTAGAGCCTTTTGTTCCAAAACTTTAGGTCCTAAACACACACGCGGTACAACCTGAGAGCAACAACACGGAGAGTTCTGAATCCAGATTAGAATCATTCAAGAAGAATAATTGGGTCTTGATGAGTTATGCTTTTGTGGTTCTTTTGAAAGACAAGTTTCCTTGTTAACATGTTTCGGCTGCCTGATGTAGGCGTGGTCAGCTGATGTTACTTCCTGAGAGGGCGGGGTCAGCTGATGTTACTTCCTGAGTAGACAAGGTCAGCCTGATTGGCCTGTCAGGTCACTCAGGAGGCAATTGAAATCAGAAAGCCGGGTAACAACAGCATCAACCGAGATGAGGGAACCTTCCTCCTGTCGCACACATGGTACACCCTCTTCTGAAGACCTCCGGGTAAAGGGGACGGGGTCAGTCAGGACGACCTGTCAATCAGGCTGACCACGCCCTCTCAGGAAGTAACATCCACTGATAAAGGTCGGCACTAGATCATATACAGAATCGGGACGAAACCGGAAGTTACAATCCTACTTTCGAATTAGTTTTAGACTAATAAGTCCTTAAGTGATGACTGGTTAAGTTTTAGGTGTTTAAGTAAGATGGTTAAGGTTAGGGTTAAGGTTAGGGTTAAGGGTGGGTTGGGGTTATTTTATGGGAATGGCTGGTTAAGTTTAGGCATGAATAGGTATTTTGTCATATTTTCTTCCGCTTCCGTCCCAATTCCGTATATGATCTAGTGCTGACCCGCTGATAAATGACCCATGACTAAGGCGGGTCGCTTGTCTTTCAAAAGAACCACAAAAAAACACATTAAAATAGTCAAAGGCTGCGCCTAAGAAGTTTTTCTTTAAAATATTTAGGTAAATAAAACTTTTCATTTAAAACTATAATTATTCTATGGAAAGAAGAGATGGCAGATGATAACCCTGTCAGTATGGGCTGAATAAAAAGTGGACAAAAATAATGGAATGTAATAACGAAAAAGCTCTTTCAGTCAGCGTGTGTTAGATTTCAATGATTCATCAAGTCCTCAAACCTTTGGCTCACATTAAAAGGACAGACATGAGTTCATGTGTGATATTTTAGACACGTACAGAATTAAAAGTCAAAGGTCGAACTTAAGCAATTTAGGAAATAATGCTTCATTACAAACAGAAAACTGGACTAAGGATGCACGAGTCAGATCATGGGTCCCGCTGTGGACACCTTTCATTTAGAATCTTCTTATTCAAAGCAAATACAGTTATAGATGTTTTAGATTGACATATTTTTGCAACAATAACAACTCCATACTTGCGCTATAATTAAAACAATTGTGCCTAGTTTATTTTGATGTTGAGTCACTTATATTTAGAGACGACATAACATGTTTCTGACTGCTACACCTGGTTTTAATATTTTACATTTAGTGCATTTTAAATCTCAATAGGACGATGTCATTATATAAATGCGCATTTCTTTGTCCATTCCTGCCATATTGCTCTGTGCTCTGCCGCTTTACCGTCAGTGGAAACGTCAAAGGAATTGCATGCTCTGCTCAGACCACAGATCCAAAATAAATCTGCGTACCCCTGTCAAATCATATCACAGACTCGGTAAAGAAAATCGGTGAACAAAGTTATGGCGTTACTCAAACATTTGTGAATTGATCTACAAAACGCTTGAATGTGTAGCTGTAGAAGTCCATTTTGCATGTTATGTCCTCTTTAAAACTCAAGGCAAAATCCTGATGAACTAAACATGGAATTTTGAATAAGGACATGTTCTGTGTAGAAACAAATATTAGGTATTGTAAAATCCTGAACACCTCGCACAGGGCTTGCATGTTGCAGAGGAGTGTGTTAGTGGTGCACATAGTTCAGCCTTGGGGTCGCTCTCATGGTTTCTCTATGGAGGGAGTGTTGAAGCAGCCCTCTGGCAGTGTCCTCTTGATGTCTTCCAGGTTGATAATGTCAGCACGGATTTGGCGAATCTGACGATCGTAGTCTGTAATCATATCCTCCTGTGTCCGTGCCACATCGTTGAGCTCTGCCAGCTTTCGGTCCAGGTCACTGTCTTTCATTTTGCCTTTGGCGCGCTTCAGAGACTCATCAATCTGGTTCAGTTTGCTTAGATCCACCTTGTCAATGTTCCCTGGAAAAAACAACAGATATGTAGACAAAACTTTAAGCAACCAGCACAAGTTTAAATCGTGTATAAACATCACGGCGCCTTATTGGTGCAGGAAACAAAAGTGTTAATCGTTGGCTATAATAGTCTGAGGGAGCGTTCACACTTCAGTCCCACGAAAACTGCTTCACTTTAAGATTAGTAGGATCTTAAAGTGAAGCAGGAGAAACTTGCATCAACTGTGGAGATGTGAGACCACCAAAGTGTCTCTTCCTGTAGTCCATGGTCCTTTTTCTGGTTTCATGACCTAGTTCACTTGGGACTCAAGTGTGAACAAATCTTTACTGTTAGAATAATCCCGATCAATCCAATCCACCAAATATAAGTATGATTTATCCCCCATTCCCAACGCTGTGCCCTGGACCCTTTTACCAAAATATCTTTCACATGATCAATAATACAAACCCAGTTAAAACAGGATAGAAACCTTCAGCGAACCCACGACACAGGTCACTGATTATTCCAAATGGGATTGTCATCAGACACCAGTACTCACTGTCAGAGCACATCCAACACTTCCATACACACGTTATGGCACAGCACAACCACTCGGCACATTTGGAAGAAGGTGGTGGCATTCATAATCAGTTTTGGGTTGTCACATCCCAACATTGATCCTTGTCTGCTTGGATGGTCTTATGTCTCCACTCAACATTCCCAAAGCCTAATGAGGAATTACGACTGGTCGCACTCGCCATCACTAAGAAAACTATCTTCATGAAAGTGTTCGATACATTTTAGTGTAGAGTATGGTTTCTTTGCAGGCTGAAAAAAAACCCCAACAAAACGCTGTAGCGTTTTTCTTCTGTGGACTTCTGATGGAGTTTGCAAAAACCTTTACTCGGTTTGAAGTCCTTGAAGTCAATCTGGGCTGGTGAGAACTTGGCACAGATCCAGTTGAAACTCTGCCAAGACTTGTGCTAATACCAGAGGTGGGACAAAGTCATTGTTTAGCAAGTCACAAGTCAGTCTCAATTCATTGCCCTCAAGTCCCGAGTCAAGTCACGAGTCAAGACAGGCAAGTCCCGAGTCGAGTCCAAGTCAAAGGCCAACAAATCTCAAGTCAGTCCCAAGTCCTACGGTTTGACTTTCGAGTCCTCTCGAGTCTTTTTGACCGCGATTTGTTTCTTGTTGGTCTCCACGTACTTTTGTAGGCAAACAAAATAATGTTAGGAATCATTTTGCTGGTGCATTCTCGTTGGTCTCTGACCCATGGACTAACAGTTTGTTCCATGTCGTTGTCTGCTGGTAAATCAAAACTATCTACGTGATCTAATTGGATGTTGTGCCAGATGCAGGCTCAGTTACACATGCACAGACCACACATAAAATCAGAGCAGTCCGTGTCAACATACTTTTTATCTTTGGGGTTTTTAATGGGAAGTAGCAAGTGCAGCATATATGAATATGAGTATTGGGCTAGGACCTGTATCTATATAATCAGTTTAATGTCCGTAGTGGTTATTGTTCCAAATGTCCTACTGTAGAATAGGGGTAGTATGAGGGGTCTAGGCTTTGGACCTGGGGCAGCTCGCCATCAACTGGACCAGCATTAGCAATATCTCATAATTACCAATATATCATTACATAATAAAATGTCTCATATAAATTAATTCAATCAGTCAAAGCACTGATTTCATATCAATGCACCATAAACAATAGTGCAAATATTAATCTAGCTTAGTGCACATAATCAAAACAACTATCTAATGTATGCAAACTTTAGCAGGAGGAGCACAACAAAAACATACTCATAATAATAGGCCTCGGCGCCCACACAGAAAAATATAAGAAAGAGCCAACAGAGCAGCGCAGGCTAGCGCTAGTTTGACTCACCAGTTCCTCTTTAAAACACGGCACACAGTGTGACAACTGCGTCGATTCAATTGTATGAGGCGCCTGTAGTGAAAGCATATCAATTACGGTTTGTAGAACAAAGTATGACGTTAGGTCGCGATAAATACCTGCAGCTCGCTCATTTCCAGCTCCCCTAGACAACACACCCACCGGTGAATGCAGTCCGCTTGTTTAGGGAAGTGTTGCTGCGCAAACTGCGGGGAACTCACGTTCGAACTCTCTCGCGAGCGCTACAACTACCGCGAGGCTTTGTTTCTTCAGAGACGGCATAGATAGAAAGAGAGATGCGGAGAAAGGTAAATATGGCCCGGGTTACGCAAGTCTTTACAAGTCAATTGGCGCAAGTCCAAGTGAAAGTCAGAGTCATTGATGTTAAAGTCCAAGTCGAGTCGCAAGTCTTTTTATATTTGGTCAAGTCGAGTCTAAAGTCATCAAAATCATGACTCGAGTCTGACTCGAGTCCAAGTCACATGACTCGAGTCCACACCTCTGGCTAATACTTGTGTCAAGGCAAAAGAAAATATGTCAAACAAGAATTGACAGTCTACACTTGACTGCACCTACAGTTATCAGTTCATTATGTCCCACACTAAGGTGACCAAATATGCAAGAGGAAGAAGATTCTCGGACGACACTCTTTGGACTCTTCGGCTCGAATGCATAATGTTGAGCATGACTCAAAACTACCCCCCCTACGAAGGGCGCTGCACAAGTCTTTACGCTCCTGAAGATGAATGCATTATCAAAAACATGGGGGTGGCTGCATCATGTTATGGACCTACTTTACTTCAGCAGGGACAGGGAAGAGTGTCAGAGTTGATGGGAAGGAGGACGAAGCAATATACAGGACGATCTTGAAAGAAAAGCTTCTGAAGTCAGAAAACAGTTGAGACTGGAGTGGATACTTACCTATCATCAGTACAAGTTCAATAAACAAAGAACGGTTTGAAACAAAAAGAAGCAGTCAGAAATTAAGTCCATAAACTCTGTTCTGACACCAGATCTAATCATACACATAACAAGTCCCTGTGTTTTCAATGCCGCTGTATTTCCTAGTGTTGGCTCTCACTGCTGTTCACATAAACACACTGAAGCAGGAATGTGTGCCATATCATCTGCTCTGGAGATCAACAGCTGATAGAGCAAATCCTGCGCTTTAACAAAATATAACATAGTGTTTTTTTTTTTTTTTTTTGATTCAGTTTTCCTGAGCCAAGTGGGACTTCAATGTTACATATTATACATTTGTAGAGTTTTCATCAATTTCAACTCACCAAGTTGATCCAGCAGTGACGCAATGGTGCCCAGAACACTTTTCACTGCATTCTTTGCTTTACGAGCATTGTCTTCTGCTTCCTTTGCGTTATCCGACGCCTGAGACACAAAGGCAGAAAATAAACTACATTGAACTTGTAACTCTATAACTATAAAACACAGCAGCATTTTATATTTCCGCAGCCAATACCAAAGTCTTTTCCTTTATTGAACTTTCCACATACTTGTTTTGGAACATTTCTAAGATGAGAATATTTATATTTTCTTTATTAGCAGGACATACCAATCTTAATAATAATAATAACAATGAAGCATTGGTTAATGATAGCGCTTTTTTGGACTCACACAGACAGACGCATTCACCACATACACGGTGGTGATACTACAACTATAGCCACAGCTGCCCTGGGGCACAATGACAGAAGCGAGGCAACCAGTGTGTGACATCGGCCCCTCCCATCACCACTAACCATTCACACAAACACCAGACTCATTCTAATATAGATTAAGTGTCTTCCCAAAGGTTAGGCCCCCCTTAGGTTGGGAGTCAAACTGCTTTCAGAAAGGGCCACAGCAGTCCTTTTGGGAAGCAGTTTGAAAGCCCTGATTCACTGTAACTTACATATGCTCTGTCTTGATAAACACTAAAGACCCCACATGCTTAAAGGCCAGATGTAGATAACAGATGTATAAAAGAGAAAGTAACGATGGAGGAAAAGTTGGTACCATGACAGCCATCATCATGTCGTTGTCTGCGTCTGCTTTCTTCTTGCTCAGCTCCTGCTCTGCTGTGGTCAGCTGCTCCATCATGTCGGTCACCTCAGAGTCCAGTTTCTGAGTCTCTTCAAAGGCCTTCTCTGCTTCTACTTTGGTCTTGGCAGAGCCCTGTCACACACCACAGTTATTGTCCACACATACGCAGGGAATCTGCAGTTTGGCACATGTCTTCTTTAAATTAAAAAACTGAAAAGTGGGGCATGCAACATCAGGAGAAGTATGAAGCTGAAAGGGCTTTTCTGAGCCTCTAACCGTTGGTCTCTCATCAAAAACAGAACTGGACCCATCCACGTCAATATCACAAATGTAACTCTAGACTCCGGGGCCAAGACTCCGGGGGCCTAGACTCCGGGGGCCTAGACTCCGGGGGCCTAGACTCCGGGGGCCTAGACTCCGGGGGCCTAGACTCCGGGGGCCTAGACTCCGGGGGCCTAGACTCCGGGGGCCTAGACTCCGGGGGCCTAGACTCCGGGGGCCTAGACTCCGGGGCCTAGACTCCGGGGCCTAGAGTGAGCCACAGGGACATGTTGGTGTGTGATGGTGGACCTACTTTTTGGACTTTGCTGGCGATCTTCTCGGCCTCCTCGGCTTTGCTCTTGGCCTCTTTGGCGTCAGAGGAAGCATTACCCAGAGCAGCCTCTGCTTGCCGTGTTTTCTCGTTGGCAGCGATGATGGTGGCGTTGATTGAAGGGATCCTCTTTAAAGCTTCCTCCGCCGCGGTCTTGTTGTCATTCACTCTCTTGTCGAAATCTAGAAGCAGTTAAAGTGATAGTCTGTAACTCTAAATTAATTAATTTTTAGGAAATGTGTTAAATTGACCTCCTGGCCTTAAATGTTGATATAAAATAAGTAATTTTATTAATTCTAATATTACGGGTAACTCCCGCCTTCCCTGCTCTTAGCTATAGCTCAGAATCCACGGTGCCGCCCACGTTAACCAATCAAGTGATGCCAAGGGCTGTCAATCATCAGCGCTGATTCTCGTAGCTGCTCATGCTCAGTTGTTTGTTTTCGCGGAGCCTCTGAATCAAGCCTCTAAAGGCTCTGGGACTACATGAAAACTGAACAAAGAATTCTGAACATCCGCACTGAGTTACCCATTTATATACTGAACCTATATCCATAATCATTTATATACTGAACCTATATTTATAATCATTTATATACTGAACCTAAATCCATAATCATTTATATACTGAACCTATATCATAATCATTTATATACTGAACCTATATCCATAATCATTTATATACTGAACCTATATCCATAATCATTTATATACTGAACCTATATCCATAATCATTTATATACTGAACCTATATCCATAATCATTTATATACTGAACCTATATCCATAATCAGATCCTCTGCAGATGTGTCCTATAATGTGCAATTCATGATAATAGCTTGTTCCTGGTTTGCCGCGATCGCTTTTTTTTGTGCATTAAAACATTTTTTTCATTAAAACGTTCACAAATAATTCTGAAAACCTCAGTGCATGTGTATTAATAATGTATATGTATAATGTGTTCACTGATTAACATTTAAAAGTGTTACGGAAACGTAGGTGTAGACCAATCAGAAAGGAAGGGGGAGGAGCTTGCGTCGTTTTTTTTCCAATCAAGTACCTCTCTCTCTCTCTTTCTGACAAACTGCAGACAATCACTTTAAAAGACATGTTTATTAGAGAATAACATTCTGCTTTTACTGTATGTAGTGTTTGTATTACAAGTTGTAGTGGTGGAAAAAGGGTGTAATAGTGTAATAAGTAATAATACGTTTATTTATATAGCGCATTTAACAGACCAAGGTCACCAAAAGCGCTTTACCATGTTCAGAGTTCAGATATTGTTCCAATCATTCCACACACCATCCATTCACTCTCTCAATTACATTCATACCTATTGTGCATGTTTTTAGTGGTAGGGGAAACCAACTAATAAGGTTGTAATACTGTGATATGGGTGTAGTTTTGGATTGTATTTGTATATCAAGACATGAGCCATATATAGATTAACCAATCAGAAGCCTTTATCCACAGGGGAAACTCCAGCTTTCCTTAGCAACAGTCTTAGCAACACTTCTACCCTGGCAAAGTCATGGAAGAAATAAGATAAAGTTAAAGCTGCACTAACTGACTTTCGGATTTCGAAGCAGCGGTTTCGCTGGCCTCGCTCTTTTCCTCCCCTCCCCGCACCCACCAAGCTATCGCCCCCCACTACCCCACACCCACTGTTGTTTACAGAGCTAGCGTCTCATGGATAGATCCATGTATGGATTGCACATTTGCACGTGGATGGCGTGACCATAGAATGATAGAAACAGGGAAGCGCGGACAGGATGAGACTTTCTTTTGGAAGCCGGAGAGTGATAAGGTTTTTAAGCCTATTTTAGCCTCTGTTTTTAGCTTAGATTTTTATTTATTTTTATTCTTTTACTTGTTTTTTTTTATGGATTTTATAATTAATCTTTTCAACTTGCTTTTTAATCCAGTGGTCTCTTTTAAAACCGGGTCCAAAGAACCTGGTCCCACCTGTGACAGTAGAAAATTGGCTACAGCTACCTTATGCTCATATCAGCTGTAGGTGATGTCAGCCCTCGGTCAGACCACTCCTGATACACGGTCTGTGGACCAAACCTTTGACAAACAACAGCTCATGCAGGCATGCTTTACCTCTGAGGTCCTCCAAGATGGTCTCCGCCTCCTTGAACGTGGACTGGCCTTTCTTTGCCGCCTCTTCAGCCAAAGCTTTAGCTGCATCGGCACGAGCGAGGAGCTGGTCAGCAGTCTGCACAGAAGGCCCACACAGACATTGCTCCATAGTACACTACATCTATTGTTTTTAAGTTTGAATATCCCAGTCGTTCTCTGAATATGGACTGCAAAAAATGATAACATATGAGCTAGTAATTGCTTCTTTTTTTTTCTTTTTTTTATCGTCTTAAAACAAGATGAAGCCATTTAGTCTTATTTCAAGAACTGTTGCTATATTTTCTCATTCCAAGGGAGAGCTTTATTGTATCATTATCTCTAAAACAAGATCATTTTGCTTTTTCCCATTGGCAAATCTTGCTTTAAGGCAGTCACAATGTGATAAAATGATAATACACTTTGTCAAAATCAGGCAATTTTTCACTTATTTTCATCACTTTTTAGTATTCTCTTGTACAAAAAATGATATACTTGTATGTAGAAATGACCCTGAACAAAATGAGTGAGTACCATATAGTATCGGCATGTCAAACTCTGGCTCGGGGGCCAATTCCAGCCCGCAAGACAATTTTTTGCGGCCACTAAAAGGATTTTCAATAATTATCACCAACTTACAGCATCGACGGTTACAGGCTTCAAAGGCAAAAAGGTTATTTTATTCTAAAATGTTTACCCAACACATCATTAGAAGATAAATAGTTAAATGCCGTTATATTTATATTTGGTCCAGTTTAAATCCAAACAATACAAATATTTAGATTTCAGAATAATCAAACCATAAAATATTAGTGAAACTCATGTGAGATAAAATTCACTCAAAACACCATCATAATGTAAAAAATACAGTAAATCCCTTCTTTTCATTCGGGCCCCGACCAGTTCCTATTTTTATCATTCAACCCCCGACCACGATGAGTTTGACACCCCTGAGACAGTTTATTAAAACATGTTTCTTTATGAACTCCGTAGAACGTGTGTGAATGATCGGACGGTCCATGTTTTACCTGCTGCTCACTTTTGCCCTTGTCGAGGAGTTTGCGCACTTCTTGTTCTTTCCCTCGGAGATCGTCCCGAAGGTCGTTGTATTCCTTCTCAGTTTTGTCGATCAGTTTGTCCAGATCAGAGGCTTCTTTCTTTATTTTCATGGCTTCATCCTTTGAGAACATTTGATACATCATTATTGATCAGCACAGTCTCACTAAGGAATATGTATTATTATAAGAGAAAAGATCCAATGGCGTCAAAGATCACGATAGGACCTGTAACTAATCATGTCCAGTGTGCGTTTATGTGTGTGCGTTTGTTCATATATATGTGTGTGTTATTTTTAAGTGTGTGTGTATGTGTTTATTTAAGCGTGTGTGTGTGTGATTTTTAAGTGTGTGTGTGTTTATTTAAGCGTGTGTGTGTGTGATTTTTAAGTGTGTGTGTGTTTATAAGCCATTCAGAAAATGTTGGTAAGATTCATAATAAACTGTCCATGTCCAAGTGCAAAAGTGGTCAAGAAAATAAATTTATTCAACTATTCATTGAAACAAATATATAAATATCTATATCTGTTATCTTCAATAGCTCTATACCAGGGGTCTCCAACCTGTAGCTAGGCAGCCACCAGTAGCTCACCAGCCCCTTACAGGTAGCTCGCCAAAGGAATTAGAATTTAACAAATACTTTTTGACCCGTTACATATCCATTATAAGTATAAATATAGGGTTATACAGTATTATGGTGTATTTTATAAGTGTTCTCTGAGTTTGGTCGCAATTATTAGACCGATTTTTATAACGACTGCAAAAAGGAGTAGCTCTCTGCCTGTTCGTTTGTATAAAAGTAGCTCTCTGATTGAAAAAGGTTGGAGACCCCTGCTCTATACACTGTAAAAAGCTGGATTGAGGAGCCTATATAACCCCATCCAAATATTATCTTTTTGGAGGGTTTGGAGGATTTTTGTGTTAAATTAGTGTGGATCTATGTTTTCAAGCCAATGGCAGCCATTGAAAAGAGGACAGAGAGGGTGTTACTGTACTTCACAACTCTCACTTACCTCCAAAGCTTTCGTGTCAAAGGGTGGAAGGCTGGTCAGGTTGGCAAAAATCCTCAGGGCCCGATCGGACGCCTCCTCTGCCTCTGCCTGGATCTTGTTGGCCTGCTTCTCCAGGTTTTTGGCCATTTCCTTGGCATCATTATACCTTTAGAAGATGCAAACACATATTCAGTACAGTAGCCATAATCCCTGAGTTGACTGAGGGATAATTTAAGTACTTCTTGTTGAGCTGGTCGACCTCCTGGCTCGTCTTCATCTCTCCATCCAGCGTTTTCAGCAGCAGGTTATAGGCTTTGGTTGAGGTGTCATTTGCTTCCTTGGCAATCTTTTCTATCTGGTCAGCCGCCATTTTGTGCCTGATGAATCATTGATAAACAGTTAAAGAAGTGACATAATTCTTCCTATATGCATACTTATCTTAACTAAAGGACACGGGACTAAAAATGTACGTATTTCTAGGTTTACAACATTTCTCAACATCACAATCAGTCCGGTAGACTCGACTCCTTGCTCTGCCCACACTCTCAGACGCTAAAATATTTTGGGACACACCATCTATACAATTTGTGAACGGGGAAGTTAGATTCTCACTTTTCAGCCAAAGTGCGCGCTTCTTCAGCCAGTAGCGTCATGTTATTAGGATCTGCTCCTCCACTGGGCGGCTTAATGTCCTGCACAGAAAAGACCATTTTCAAACATGATCTTGCCTCATATTATTATTGATTTAAAAGAACCATATATTTACCACTTTGCCGATTGCATCTTTGGCTTTGTCCAGTTCCTGGCGTGCCCGATCAATAAGGTTCTCTGCATCTCTGACTCGCGCTCTGGCCTTGTCCGCCTGTGCTCCTGTCACGTCCACGGTGTTCCTGATGTTTTGGAGACGGTTCCACTGCGTCGTCAATGTTATGTTAATTGAACTCAGTCGATCCAAAAGACCCCGGTCCACGTCTGAAAACATTCAAAAGTATTTCACTGTTAAAAAAAATAAAACATCTGTTTCATACAGCACTTATTCGGACACTCATGATTCATTCGCTTCCTATATGGTGGTGGTACTGTAGCCACAGCTGCCCTGGGGCACACTGACAGAAGCGAGGCACCACCAACCATTCACACACACACACCAGACTCATTCTTTCCTAAGGCCCCACAGCAGTTTGGCACTTTACAGCCGCAGCAAAGAAACCTGCAATGCTGAGGAGCAATTTGGACATGGAAATAAGTGTCCTTCAAGTCGTGAAGCAGTCCCCAGGAGATATCGCCGGGAGGACCTGTCTGACATGCATTATCTTGAAAGGAAGGGCCTTCAAGAACACATTCAGAGCCTTGAAGTCCGAAAAAGGCCGTTAATTACAGATCTTTTTCTTTTTGGGTGGGGTCGTACCTTTGCTGGTCTGAGCCTCCCGCAGCAGCTCTGTAATGGCACGTTCAGCTTCTTTGAGTCGCTCTTCAAAAGCCTTGTCGCTGACCATCTCCTCACCCGAGCTCAGGTTATCGATTAGGATCTGGAGGTCATGGAGTTTCTGCCTCTGCTGGTTCACCTGGGGATCGAACGTACCATTTGTTAAGCAGATTTTACTTCATTGACATCTGAGCAGAAAGTTAGTGGTGCCATTTTAGCATCTGGTTAGTTTAGGTCTGGCTCCAAGTTACATTTCTGAACTACCAGGCCTTCCAGCATTCTTAAACTTTACTTTACCCTACCCTGATTGGGAGCTTTTCCACCGGCCCCCGTTTAACCAGTAGACTCTCTTTCCTGGTTCTATCTTGGCCGAGCTGGTACTAAAGTGTTCTAACTCTAGTTTGTTGTGGGTAGGTTGCTAGGATACAGTGGCAGATACTAAAGCGTAATGGGAACACAACCAGGTAGAATAGAGTAGAGGAGAGTACAGTAGAGTAGGGCTAAGTAGGGCTGGTTGAAACAGAGATTTAGATCCTCTGGAATTCTGCCCGAGGAGATAAGGACAGCTGATGTTATCTATTCAGCTGCAGACACACATCGCTCACACACGAAAACATGCCAGGTTCTAGCCAGGATCAGGCTTAACTTGACTCAGACGCTTCTCACCTTGTCGCGCACCAGACTGTAACAGGAGGGACACTGCTGGCAGCCGGGCGCAGAGCGGTTATAGAAGTAGTTCTCTTCACACATGTCACATCGAGCACCAACAAAACCAGGCTTGCACTCACAGCGGCCGTCCTCCTTGCACTGGCCAGAGAGGGAGCCCTCGGGGTCACAGTCACACGCTGGAAACACAACGCTTTTATATCAATCAATTAATCAATAAAATTCTATTTATAGTGCCCTTTACGCCACTCATGGTGACCAACGTGCTTTACAATAACATCACATTAAATCCATTAAAACATTCAAGCAATCAAAAAAAAAAGTTAAAAAGTGTGTTAAAAGTCAGTCTGAATAAATTAGTTTTGAGCATCGATCTAAAGCGTCCAAAATCAGTGAGCACGCGCATATCAGGGGCAGCTTGTTCCAGAGTCTGGGTCCAGCGACTGAGAAGGACCGGTCACCCCTGTGTTTGGACCTGGTTCTAGATACTTACAGGAGGAGCTGAGTGGATGACCTCAAGGATCTGCCCGAGTCACGAACAGTCAAGAATTTGGACAAGTACGGAGTGGCAAGACCATTGTGGCCTTCACAAATACAGATTGAAATTTTGACATTATTGGCTAGATGTCTTCTATCATAAAAACTGGAAGCAAAAAAATCTGCCAACTTCTAATCATTTTCTACATGACATAATGAAACACGTCCAAATTGGAAAAAAATCAATTTGAACTGAGAGGACAGTTTTCATTTAACACGGTATCCCTTTCTGGAGTTCTTTAGTAATCACATAAACAACAAAGTACTGTTACTGTCATTTGGACTGAAATAAAATTCTGAAAATTCTTAATAAAAAGGGAAAACTCCCAGTGGTGAAAAAAGGACTGGGGTGATGTGTGGACGTCTGGGTGTAAATCTCTGAAAAATATCTCTATTTTTCACAATCCGTGCCTTACGTTTACATCCAGATGAACTGAAGCCAAAGAAGTTGACTTCGCACTGCTGGCACTGGAGCCCCGTGACGCCCGGCTGACACTCGCACTGCCCGGAGACAACATCACACTGGCCATTCGTGGAGCCGATGGGATTACATTTACATCTGAAAACGAGAAAGAAACAATTAGTAATACAAGCGATATAACAACAGGTGTTTTGTCTCAGTCGGACAACTCAGATCTATGACTCACTGACAGCAGGAGAACATGGATCACTGGACTCACTCTATAACTGTATTCAACAAATCAGTGACTGGATACAATACAATTCAATTTATTCTTGTATAGCCCTAAATCACAACAGCAGTCATCTCAGAGGACTTCACAAAACCATTGAAATCACCAACACAGATCAGAGAAACAAAACTGAAATTATTGTCTTTGGTCTCCAGAAACACAGTGTAATCCGAACCTTCGCTCTCCCTAAAACCTTCAGATCAGGTCAGAAATCTAGGGGTAATACTGGACTCAGACTGAAATACTGTATAGGGTCTAAGCATGGACATTTATCATCATTTATGGACATTGGTCACCTGCCCCTCATGGACCAATGGCTCTGTGTGCTTTTATTGTTGCATTTCTTGTGTTGAACTGTTTGATTCTCTGATCTGTGTTGGAGAATTCAACGGTTTTGTAAAGTCCTCAGAGATAACTGCTGTTGTGATTTAGGGCTATACAAAAATAATGTGATTTGAATTGAATTTCTCCAACAGGAATCAGAAAAAGTATCTATCTATATAACTATGTGTGCCACAGCCATTCATTTTATCTTTGTGGAAAAATACAAATTGGAAAACTTCAAATGTTTCCCATCTCAAAAAAAAAATAGAAATAATCTTAACTTCCGGTCAAAATTTAAAATCCAAATGCTAAAATCTAATTTGACACTACTATAACATATATATTTGTATGTACAAGCATGAATTGAAGTCTAAAGCAAACATTGAGATTATTATCCATGCATTCGTCTCCAGTAGGCACAAACCCAGCACTAACCAGGCCCTGCCCTGCTTAGCTTCAGAGGTCTGACGGTCTGGCTTCACAAATATCCAACAATTCCATTTATTTTTTCAATTAACTGACATTTTACGAGTGTTTCCCATCAAAACACAACAAGGTATTCCTGGTTTGTGTGGATCCTCATAATAACAGCTACATTATCATAATAACAGAGAAATACAGTTTGCACTCACTGCTCACAGCCTTTGCCGCTGTGCAGGTTGTAGAAGCCCGGCTCACACGCGCTGCAGTCTCTCTCCGCGATGTTGGGCAAACACGAACACTGGCCTGTGACCTGGGAGCAGCTCGTCTGCTGATCCACGGTGCCGAACGGAGAGCACGCACACGCTGAAGGCACACAAGGAGATAGTTTGGTCCAGTTAAATGTACTGTTGCCGTAGAGCAGGGTCCGCTTCATGGAGACGGATCCTTTGTTCTTTCGGGTTTAAGATCTGTCTTTGCACTTTATTCCTATTGTTGGTGACTTTTAGAATGACTTATTTATTAGTTTGTTTGATGGATGTGCTTCTGCATTTCTCCTGCAGGGATCAGTAAAGTATCTATCTATATATCTATGTATACCACAGCAATTTCATCTTGTTTTGAAGAGGAAAAATCTAAATTGGAAAACTACTCCTTTCCCATTTCAAAACAAAAATATAGAAATAACCTTAACTTACTTTCATGATTTGAAATCCTGAAAAAAAACAATAGTTCCCGCACACGGCTGTCCTCGAAAAAATATATTTTAATTGTAAAATGTTACGTTTTGGTCCCGAGACCTCCATCCGGCAAATTGCTTCTTATCATTTCAAAACCACCAACTATAATGTATATACACATACAATTTCTATTCGCCAAACTTTGGCTAGAGTCCCGAAAGAATGTTCCTCGTGGGATCAGAGGAGCTTATTTGTATCACGCAGCTCATACACAAAGCTCAAAGTGCAAAACAATATAAGAACAATCAATCACACAAACCATTAAAATCATAAATGAATCAAAGCACGTTCAAACAACTAAAGATACTGTCCCTCAGTTGTAGCGCAGCTGAACAGAACTGTTTTTAACCTGGATTTGAACATTGTCAGAGAAGAAGCCTGTCTCACATTTTAAGTAAATAAGTTTTTATTTATATAGCGCCTCTCACAGACCAGAGTCACAAAGCGGTTTACAACTGTCGTGGGCATTTGTCTCTCACTCCACACAGAGATGCGCCTGCCAGACCTATTGTACATGTTTTAAGTGGTAGGGAAAACCGGAGCACCTGGAAGAATCCTACGCAGACACGGGGAGAACATAAAAACTTCACTCAGAAAGGCACTGTTACGAGTAAGATTTTCAGGAAGACCGTTTCAGGTTTTAGGATGAATCTGAAATGCTGCCTGCCCATGTTTGGTTTAGTAATGGGTGGAACTTTTTTCTATCTGGCACTAAAACAGACCTGGCTTTTCAAAAAACGTCTTGTTTAAAAGGGCCAATCGTAAACCTTTTAGATATTCTTCTAATGGACCTTATATTATTGTATTCAAGTCATTTCAACTATCGCTGGAAAAAAAAAAAAATGGTGCACACTTGGGTAGTCTTACACGGTTTTTCCAATGTGGTTTTACTGCAAATGTCAAATAAATTCTTGTATCTCTCAGGTCAAACCAGCACAGTGACATAAGCAGCTCCCTTCAACCAACAATTCCATCTCCAACAGTAAACAATGCGGACTCACGTTTGCACTTGTCACTGGGGTTGGCGGCCAGGGCGTTGCCATAGAAACCTTCTTGGCATCGGTCACAGAAGAAGCCGGCAGTGTTGTAGATGCATTTGAGACACTCCCCAGTTTCGCGGTGACAGTTGCCCACCGCGTTGGGGTCAATGTTGTCGCTGCATTTACAGGCGCGACACGCTCTGACGGGACCCTCCTGCCCCAGGGGGTCCCCAAAGAACCCATCGTCGCACAACTCGCAGCGTTTACCTGAAAAGATCAAATATTCATCAACTGTTTTTATATGCAAACATTTCAACTCTAAAACTGTATGTAGACGGACAATGTCATTTATAAAACCTTATGAATGACTTTCTTTTGAGGAATCTGGTGAAAAACTAAATGTTTTTTGGGGAAATTTCTCAGAATTCTATAGGTTTGAATAAGATAAGACAGTCCTTTACTCGTCCCTCAGTGGAGAAATTTCAATGTCATCGTTGCACATTACAGAATGAAAGAAATAAGAGCCTTCAGAATGCACACATCAAACAGGATCTATTATTTAAGATAAAAAAAAAAAAAAAAAAAAGTAACAAGATAATAAAATAGGGTAAAATAAAACTATGGAGCTATTATTGCACTTGGTTCAGAGGTATTTACAGATGTGTATATTGTACTTTAGCAGCAGAGAATATGACCAGAATAAACAATAGCAATAACAGCAGCTGGTAATGTGACTAGTGAATATCAGATGAATGGATATATAATAAAGTAGTACTAATAACAACAGGGAAAGTGGTGAGTAGTCAAAAGGACGGTTCTGGGAGTCCTAGCGTTAAGGGCGTGGGCAATAGAAGCAGCTTGTGAATACCGACCTGTGGTGCCAGCAGGACAGTTGGTGCAGACCACCTCTCTGGTTTTGGGGACCACAGCACACGTGGCCCCACTTGGGCAGGGACAGGGCTGGCAGTCCCCTGCGGTGCCTTTGGTGGCGTCTCCATAGAAACCGTCTTTACACCGTTCACAGCTCAGGCCGGCTGTGTTGTGCCCACACTCACAGGCTCCTGGAAACAGCCAAAGGTTCGCATAAAGAGATGACAGTTTCCACAATGAGAGCAGAGCCGTGAAGTCCAGGAGGTGGTTCTCTACTTCACATCTCATGAAGTGGAACCTCTCATAAGGACTGGTCTAGTACCTGTGGAGGGGTCGCAGGTCTGACTGTGCCTGTGGCAGTTGCACGGCTCACATTGACTGAAGGCTCCGAGCTGCGGCTGAGCACGACGGTATCCCACAATGCACTTCTCACAGTGCTGACCCTCGTACCCCTGAGGACAAGTACAAGACTCCACCCAGCGAGCGGCTTGACCAGGGCCCTTCTGAGCCGTCACCAACCGCACGTTGTCCAGGTACCCAGCACCTGCCGACAAACAGGTCGTGTTAGACATTATAGACATTATATTATGTCTTATCTTTAAGATGGAAGGTTAGAAAATCAGAATCACAATTATTTTTATTGCCCTTGTGAGTAAGAGGAAGTCACAAAACTAGGAAAATGCTTTGGCTCTCAGTGCAAACTAGTTATAAAAGTAAAAATAGAAAAATGGATGCATAAAAAGAAATACATAATCTAAATGTCTCACATTTCTTAAAATTAATATTATATACAAGTGCAAGTACACCCAACAGACCACAGTTGAACCATTTCTTTTGTTTGGGATTGAATTCCCTTCAGCAATCACAATCACAACTTGAACTGAAGACACTCACTGTATTTTACTAACAGAATAATGTCACTACTTTTCTAGTGGATCATGTCAACAACACAGCTCTGGCTTCATATAAATTATCTGTGAGTAAAACTCACATGAAAACAGACCTGGACTATGATTAAAACATGATCAGAAGAGAGTGTTTGATGATAACTTACTCTTGTCGCTGTATGTGCCTCGGATTTTGATGCTGGTCAAGTTGTGAAGCAGTCTCTGAAAGTCGGAGTGACTGATGGTAGGTCTCCAGGGGTAATCTGCACTGTCATGAAGCCTGCAACACACCACACAACACTGACCATCAGCTCTGTCATCACCGCAGCAGAAAGTTAGACCTGATCCCAGGGTTGGCCTCCACCAAGGCCGCCCTTTGTAACCGGTTCTGGTTCTGTTCACTGTCTTTATGGACAGAAATTCTAGGCGCAGTCAGGGCCCATTGGAGGTCCAGTTTGGAGACCACAGGATTTAATCTCTGCTGTTTGCAGTTGATGTTGTCTTGTTGGCTCCAACGAACCAGAACCTTCAGCACTGGGACGGTTTGTAGCAGAGTGTGAAGTGGGTGAAATATTGTGAGGAGCTCAGTCACAAGGGAGGAGCTCGGATAGGGGCCACTGTTTCTCCATGTGGAGAGATGGCTCAGGCATCTGTTCCAGATGCCTCCTGGACACCTCCCGGAGCTGGTTTTCCGGGTATGTCCCACCGGGAGGAGATCAGGGGAAGACCCAGGACACGCTGGAGGGACTGTGTCTCTCAGCTGGCCTGGGCCTTGGGGTTCCCCTGGATGAGTGTGTGTGGAGAGGGAAATCTGGACATCTCTGCTCAGACTCCTGCCCATATGACCCGGCAATGGATAAAGTGAAAGAAAATGGATGGATGGCTGTAAAACTAGACACTGGGGGATGGGAAACTTGCCTGCCATATGTGCAGGTAATGCAGAACAAACCTCACGAGTGAACTTGCAATTGCTCTTAGTTTATCATTAACTACGGAAAGAATGTGTGGCTCTCTCCACGTAACACAGGAATGCATAGATAGAGATACAGAGAGATTAAAAGATTGAATTGTCAGTTGTTCGTGGATACTAAATAAAACATTTTATGTAGTTTAGGTGTTCAGCCCCTGGAATGTCTGAAACAAAAACTAGGTCCATAGAAACAAAAACTAGGTCCATAGAAACAAAAACTAGGTCCATAGAAACAAAAACTAGGTCCATAGAAACAAAAACTGATACAGTCAAGCATTTGGTCTGTCATTGTCATTGGGTGTGGTGCCCACCTGAAGACAAAAGTCTGCATGTTCTCACTGGGATAAGCATTTCCCTGAGCGATCAGTGGAACAGCCACTCTCAGCCCGGAGCCCTCCAGGACCAGGTCTTCTGCAGATAACCTGGTGTCTCTGCGGTCCACTCGGAAACTCAGACTCAGGTTCTGCCCATAGCTCAGCAACTGGTTCCCTAAGAATTTATCTAGGAAGAAAAACAAGACAAACATGTATCAAAATACACAAAAAAAAAGCATTTTCAGTGTCAGACTGATCCACCCTCGTTGTGTGAAATAGAGGTTCCACAGGGCTTTCCTTCCTCCTGCTGTCAGACTGTATAACGAACAATGAGGACTAACAAACACTGCCGACCTGACCTCACAAATCTGTGCAATAACTTGATATAATGTCAGAATGTGCAATATAGAACCACACGAGTTCACTGTCACTTTGTCCCAGACCCTCATGCTGCTAACATGTACAGTGTGTGCTGCCCACTCCTGCTTCCGGCTGTAAACTCGTCTCAGTTTGAGGGTAGAAGAGTTGAAGTAACAGTCTGCGTTTACCTGGTGCCATAAAGTACATGGGGAAGTAGTCTTCAGAAATGAGAGAGATCTCCTCATTACTGCTCCACTGCACCGGGACAGACAAGCCGTCCCTCTGCTGGGCCAGCCACTGCTCCGTGTCTGCAGCACAAAGCACAACACATCTTAGCTTCAGCATCACAACAAAACAACTCTGGTTCAACAGTAGAAATGGTTTGAAGCTCCTGGTGCCAAGCTAAATACAATTGTTGAAATATATGAAATACTGTATGTACACAAACGAATACAGGAATTGTATAAATGCAGGGGACTAGTACGTAATTCTGTAGACTTATGGGAAGTACTTCAAGTCGACTCAAATCTGGAGCAAAGGTTTGACCAAATGGAATTGTGGCCGAATGGGAACAGTAACTTTGAATCATTCTTATTCTGGATTAATAACCGTTTGGGCTCAAAACAGACAAAAAGAGGAAAACCAAATAACACGCATTGGTGGATAGTTTGTATCTGTGTATCTTTTTATCATCATGAAGGTGTTCTGACCAAATAAATATTGTTAATATGAGTTTGATATAATTTTCTATGAATAAAATGAGACCAGCTGCTTGGATTGAAGCTTTGTATTGTAGTTTAAAAGTGCCCTGAATGCTTATTGCCTTCAGGGTTCGATCTTTATGGAAATATAAATGCTGTGATGATTTTCCTGATAAGAGTAAATGAAGTATAACAGGCCATACTAGCACAGACTCTCAGTGGGAGCTGCACCCACATTATAATTCAATGTCGACCAGGAGGCCACAAAACACCTTTTCACAGCGTGTTTGAGAGAAATTGGTGAAGTTTTGGCTGTGATTGTAAAATGTCTGGATGGGTCAGATCCATAGATCCATGGTCAGACCCTGAAAATGAGCGAGTGATTGGGAGTTTTGTGGTCCGCTGGGACGGTACCTGTGTCGAAGGTGGAGGAGATGGTGTGTATGCTGTATCCCTCTGCGCTGTCACACACAGACGAGTGCTGGAAGCAGAAACATGGAGTGCAGCCCTGAGGATTGTGGGGGTCCAGATTAAAGTATCCCAGTTTACACCTGTGGGAGAAACACAGGATCAGAAGCTGCAACGATAAAGTGGTTTTGGAGTGTTGTTTTGGAGTGATTCATTCATGTCCAAATAACTCATCTTGCAACAGCCTCACCATGACACGCCCACTTTTCCTTTGGCCTACTCAAGGGAAAAAATATCTGCTGATTGCCAACTTTAAACATGTTCAACAAGTCCATCTCCGTCCAGAGCTGTCTAGACTCAGAACATTCAGAGTCTAGAACATACACACAGCTGCACTGCTCCTTGGTGTTTATTTCTTACTCAAAGCAAAATCTGTGAGCATTTGAACAGTTACTAACACTGACAAACACCAACTCATGATCAATCATGGAGGATTACATATCTACGCTCAAACTATTATCTGGACTTAAACATGGAACTGGTCTGAACCGAAGTGGACTGTGCAGGTCATTTATAAGGTAAGACCCATAACTCACAGTTTTGCGTTTTGTATGAACAAACAATGCGGGCATGAAACATATTTTGCTGTAGCCAAACAAACTGTCCACTTGATTTCTATGATATATATGTTCATCTGATTGGGCTGAAGTCAGTGCTTCACCGGTGTTTCCACATTCACAGTGGCGGGTGTTGGTGTTTAGTGCTTACAGCACAGAGAGAAATGAAGAGTGAGGAAGACTTCAGCAGCAAAACAGACTTTTCTAGATGGAAATATTGGCACTATTTAAACTCACTAAGGTTAAAGGTTAAAGGTTAAAGGTAAAACTGTGCACGTCGAGTGCACATTATGTTCCAGAACAAAACGAAAAAGTAACGCAATAGTTACTTTTACTGGTAACTAGTTACTTTTACAGTGGAGTAACTCCGTTAGTAACTCAGTTACTTTTTGGGAGAAGTAACTAGTAACTATAACTAATTACTTTTTCAAAGTAACGTGCCCAACACTGTTTATATATTAGCAACAGCAGCTTTGTAAAGTCATATATTGTACACATCAAATCAGGTGTCAGACAGCCGCACACACCTATGGTCAGTTATGTGTTCATTCAATTCCATTTATTTTAGTACAGCCCTAAATCACAACAGACAAGGACTTTTTTGTTACTTTATTTTCATAATCTTTCCTTTTAAAGAGAAAATTAAGACAAAGTACAATACAAATAAAATGAAATAAAAACAGAACCAAAACGTGAAAAGCCCAGTAGAATCAATCTTAATGTTGTTTTTCCATATACAGTACATCATTCATTTCCCCCATTTCTTCTTTAATTGAGCTTCTTTCAGTGTTAGTTTATGGGGTATCTTTTCTATCGAAAAAATATCATTGATTAGTGAAGTCCATTGGTCCTTGGACTGTCGAGAGGACTTTACTAGATAGTCAAATCCCCAACAAGAGATCACAGAATCAAACTGGTCAAACACAGGAAATGCAATAAAAACAAACACATAGAGCCATTGGTTCTCAAAAAGAAAAAAAGGTAGGAAAAAAAGTCCTAAACTTTGGGGACGGACAGGCTTTAGATCCAGGACTGAGGCTGTAGATCCAGGACTGAGGCTGTAGATCCAGGACTGAGGCTGTAGATCCAGGACTGAGGCTGTAGATCCAGGACTGAGGCTGTAGATCCAGGACTGAGGCTGTAGATCCAGGACTGAGGCTGTAGATCCAGGACTGAGGCTGTAGATCCAGGACTGAGGCTGTAGATCCAGGACTGAGGCTGTAGATCCAGGACTGAGGCTGTAGATCCAGGACTGAGGCTGCAGACCCAGGACTGAATAAGCTCCCAGGCGGGGAGGGGGATGCAGCTCACGAGCCTGGGCCAGGGGCGACATTGACATGAACTGTAATATCATGCAGTCATAAACGTGAGCAGTTTGCACTTTGACAATTGAAGAGCAAACATCCTGTCACGGTGGGAAGTCTCCGTGTGAAGAGCAGTTTCCATCAGGCTCTGCCAAAGTCACACCGGAGACAATAACCTGTAAACAAGTCCTGTCGTGTCCCATAGGGGCTCGCTCCCCCAGGCTCCGCAAACATCTGGTTTCTCAGCGGAAAGAAAGGCATCAGGACCAACGTAAGGGCTGCCATGGACTGCCCTCTCATTCAGCTCCGCTCCTGTGATGGGGTGTGAAACCCTGAGAAACATCCAGAGAGCTTTCAAGAACAAATGTTTACAATTTTACATGTTCATTTTGGGTCGTAAACCTTTGAGGAGAATATTAAGTTTGGCTTTTAATGTTGTAAAATGTGAAATGTGTGCATAACCAATGGCTAAACATGGAATAAGTGACACTGAGAATGCACCAACCTGGCCATCTAGTGGTAGAAGTGGGAATTGACTTCTACACTGCAAAAAATTATGAAATATTAGGTAATAATTGCTTGAATCGAATATTCTTTGTTTATCCAAATTTGAGTACATTATACCTTCCAATGAGACAAAGCCATTTAGCTTTACTGCAAGAATTGTTGATTCTTGTACAGTATCTTGTCCCATTGGCAAATCATGTTTTACGGCAGACAAATTGTGCTCAAATTAAGATGCTGTATATTCTGCCAAATTTGAGCAATTTTATTACTTACTTTTCATTACTTTTTGCAGTGTATGTATGTATGTAGCTTGCATTACAACCATAGAGTGTATATGAGGAGTGGATAATGCTAAAGAGGGTGATTTGGCTCTCGATAGCTGAGGTAAAATTTCCTTATATGGGCATTTCCTCTGCTGCGTTAGCTTTAAACAAGGCAGACGTGTTGCTAAGGCGGTTACTAAGGCACGCTGGTGTTTTCCTTGTGAATGAAGGGACCTGGTCAATCATTATACGGCGTGTATATTTTGGCCTCTTTAGTTCAGATCAGCTCTCTGCCCAAAGTCTCTCACATTGACTCATGGGGCTTTTTGCATTTCTCAAGAAATTCACAAAGCTGTTTTAGAGATAATGAGTTTCTTATGGCCAATGAGGGTTCGTCAAATCCTCGAGATGGGGGCTTTTAGATAAAAGTGGTCTGAGCTGGAGGTTTTCACATTGGTGTCAATGGAGAGAAAACAATATGGTTAACAAAATCTGAAAAAAGGGTAGAATAAACCAGTTTTTCATCTTTTTGGAAAAATACATGTTGTTGCCGTTCATGACCAGTCACCCCAACACCTTCGTCTAGTTCAGTTGTTTTCTGTTTTTTTAAGGCTAATGTTTTTGTCTTTGTTTTTATTGCATGTTTGTACAGTGTCCTTGGGTGTTCTGAAAGGCACTTCAAAAAAATTCTATTATTATTCATCAGATTGTGTTTACTTAAAAAAAAACTGTTGTAAAGCATATGCTGTGTACATCAGTGGGAATTAAGATATCATTTAAAACATATAAGTTACTAGAAATGGCGATGGCGGCAGCACAAAAATCACATTCAAAGCAAATCGTGCAGTGGAGTCGCAGCTCGAGCCACTGCAGAACTTTGACGTCTTCTTTGGCTTTGACACGAGAACAGCACAAGTCTGAGCGGAGGTCAAGACGTGACTGGATCTGCGCCAAATTCTCGCAGCACCGCTAACAAACACTGACAGGATCATTGAGAAAACCAGGATCTTATCAATTCATATCTTCAGTCCTGTGTTTCACTTGGTTTTGACCTGGTTAAAACCTGGTCAAGACCTGGTTTAGACCTGGGTTAGACCTGGGTTAGCTCTGGTTTAGACCTGGTCAAGACCTGGGGTAGACATGGTTTAGACTTTGGTTAGAACCGGTTTAGACCCGGGTTTAGACTTGTTTCAGACTTGGTTTAGACCTGGTTTTGACCTGGTTTTGCCAAGCTCACAGCTGTCTTACTATCTACAGTAAGTGGGGAGTAGATTTCAGAATTGTAGTTGTTTTCTAAGTCAACATGTGAGCGTGCTACTATCATGTTTGATTTGGTCCCTGTGGACTCTTTTCCTCGGCCCGGACTTGTAAGCTGCACCCCGTCCTCGTTGCCTGGGGGCCGCCTCAGTCTCAGTCCAGCATCCTGTGGCCTCGGCCTTCGTTCTACATCTACAGCCCGTCCGTCAATGGGAGCCTCAATGTGGGCCGCCCCGAGGATTCTCATTTTCTCCCACTGGTTTTTTTAAGAGTTGTTCCTTGCAGATGCAGGAGAGTCTAAGACAGGGCTGTCCAAACCAATCCAGAAAGGGCTGCTGTGGCTTCAGGTTTTATATCAGACCCTGCACCAGAGCAAAGCAGACTCCACCCATTTTCTCAAATCTTCAGGTTAAGACTGAACTCGTTTAAGAAAATGGTTGGAGTCCACTCTGCTCCTGCTGGGTCTGATATAAGACCGGCAGCCACAGTAGCCCTTTCTGGACCAATTTGGACACCCCAGGTCTAAGGACAGTGGTGATGATCCAGGACTCTCCACGTGAATTAACATTTAAGAACATTTATGGATATTGGTCATCTGTCCCTTATGGACCAATGGCTTGATTCTCTGATCTGTGTTGGCGAATCTACAGATTTGTAAAGTCCTCTGAGATGTTGTTGTGATTTAGGGTTATACAAACAATCAAATTGAATGTCCTCATTGTTCCTCAGAGTTAGTATTTCTTCTTTAATCCTGGCGCTGTTTTCCGTTAGCTCCTCTGCTCACATCGTCCCATTGTCCATTTCCAAATTGAGTAACCATGCTTCCTTTTCCTTGTCCATTGTTTAGAAAAGGTCTTTTTTGATACGCAGCAGCTCCAGGTTTGGTCATGTGAAATGTAAGACCTTTTTAAAGATGATTTCAAGGCCATTTTCAGTTATTCCAAAGGTCAATAAAAATGAGAAGGTCATGGTCAAAGAGGCACCGTGACCTGCTTTGACTGTGAGGGTCTCTGTTTGTCTGCAATGTCTTTATTATCACACTTAATGAATAACACAAATCAAATGCAATACCGAGCTGCTAACTGTAACTCGGTATTAAATCTTATTGGACTGTATTTTATTATTTTGGTAACTTGCACTTTTATTGGACTGTATTTATATTTGTTATATAGTTATGATCGTATTGTCAAGGACTACAGATGGAAAGAAGCTGGTGCTAAATCTGGTGCATCCATCTTTTTAATGCAATGGCACATTCTCCTTAATAAATTACACTTAAATTTAAACTTAAATCAGTTAAAGATATAGTAAAATTAAATAAAAATGATAATAAAATAAAGTGTAAAATAAAATAAAATGTGTAATAGATAAATGAATTAAAAGGAAATATTAAAACAATACAATATGAAATAAAAAATCATGAAAAAGGTAAATGAAAAAGAGGGTATAATAATAATACATTGTACATCTGCCCCTCCCACCACCAACAACAATTCACACACACACACTCATTCTAATGTGGGTGAAGTGTCTTGCTTAAGGACACGTGGACAGTTTGGCACTTTACAGCCATAGCCAAAATAATAAAGATGATATAATAAATGTGGCGTTCTGTGCGCAGGTGTAAATGTAACGGCCACGCCAGCGAGTGTTTGAAGAACAGCGGAGGAAACCTGGTGTGTAACTGCAAACACAACACGGAGGGCGCCGACTGCGACCACTGCAAAGCCTTCTACAACGACCGGCCGTGGAGGCGCGCCACGGCCGACAGCCCCAACGAATGTCTGTGTGAGTAGACTCCAGACTGGACCACACACACATCTGCACCACACACACACACACACATCTGCACCACACACACACACACATCTGCACCACACACACACACACACATCTGCACCACACACACACACACACATCTGCACCACACACACACACATCTGCACCACACACACACACACATCTGCACCACACACACACACACACAATCTGCACCACACACACACACACACACACATCTGCACCACACACACACACACACTCATCTGCACCACACACACACACACACATCTGCACCACACACACACACACATCTGCACCACACACACACACACTCATCTGCACCACACACACACACACACACATCTGCACCACACACACACACACTCATCTACTCATCTGCACCACACACACACACACTCATCTGCACCACACACACACACACATCTGCACCACACACAAAATACATACACATACATGTAAAAGTAAAATGGTAAAACTCAAATGGTGTTAAAAGCCCATCCATCCATTTTCTTCCCCTTAATCCATTTCTGGGTCGGGGGGTGGCAGTCAGAGCTGCACCCAGTACACAGAGCACCCTCACTGATCCTCCTGCAGGTGGTGAGTCCACAGGAGGACGGCTGCTCTGTCAGTGTGAGCATAGCCTTGATCTTTCAGCAGGGGCTTCGGGCAAAGTGGGGTTAAGTGTCTTGCCCAAGGACACATCGACAGCAGTCATCAGTGGGAGTTGGTGGAGAAGGTGTCGAGGTGGGATCGAACCCACGACCTTCAGGCCTAAAGGCCCCGATGCTCTACCAAAAAGCCATGACGTAAAAATGAGTCTTTAGACTAGACTTAAAAACTTCCAATTTTCCTCTGATACAACAGCTGTTGAAATGGATTTGGAAATCATTGAAATAACAAAAACAGAAGCTGTAATAAGTAAGTGTGTTTTTGACGTGTGCGTTCTGTGTGACCTCAGCCTGTAACTGTAACGGGAAGAGTTCAGAATGCTACTTTGATGCAGAGCTGTACCGAGCCACGGGTCACGGCGGTCACTGCCTCAGCTGCGCCGACAACACCGACGGCCCCAACTGTGAGCGCTGCCTGGACAACTACCACCGCGACCAAACCGGCAGCCGCTGCCTGCCCTGCGCCTGCAACTCCATCGGTGAGGGCGGCTATCGCTATTTTTCTTGTTGATGTTTTGAAAGAACATAAACAGAAATATCAGAACATGAAAAGACCTTTTAACATTTTAAATCAATGAATGTAGGAGAATTTAGTTGAAACTTTCTTCATCAATATTCCGTTGCTCACCAGACTGTTCTTTACTGTTTACCAGACTGTTCTTTACTGTTTACCAGACTGTTCTTTACTGTTTACCAGACTGTTCTTTACTGTTTGTAACTTCCATCCCCGTTCAGAGATGATAAATACATTTCTATCACACATTCCTAATATTGCTAATTACTGCTCGATCATTTGTTCTCAGGTTCAGAATCCCCACAGTGCGACGACAGAGGCATCTGCTCCTGTAAACCTGGTGTTACCGGTGAGAAGTGTGACCGCTGCCAACCAGGCTTCCACAGCCTCACTGAGGCTGGCTGTAGGTAAGCAGCGCCACCCTGTGGTCATCCTTGACTCTGCAGCATAATCAGGGCACTCTACACATGTTCACATGTGCACAAACCAGAACCAGTTTATCAAATTGTGATGTTTTATAAATTCACATTATTTAAATCTATTTAAGTTTAAATACTAGAATCAACCAGTAACATTATAATGTTTGCATAAATATCATATGAAATGATGTCTATTGTCTTTAGCACTAACTCCTGCTGCCTTTTGTTAATGATTAAATGAGATGTTCTGTAGCTCACAACATGACTCTGCTCTTGCTCTTCCAGGCCCTGTTCCTGTGCTCCGTCAGGCAGTACCCAGGAGTGTGATGTCACCACGGGCCAGTGTCGCTGTAAGGACCATGTGGAAGGCTTCAGCTGTGACAGGTACAGCTCAACTCATCACAGATCATGTCACTTGGTGATGTCTCATTTGAAGCCTTAGAAATTCCAATGCAACGCTACAGAAGTGTAATCTCCCATCATCATAAGGGATAAGTTTGGATAAGGTGGAGTGAGCACGC